AATCGGCTGCTAAAATATTCACTGAAATATTAGTGAAGAGAAATGGTGCGCCTGTGTGTAAGGCGTGTAAGTGAAATGAATGCAACACGATTATAGTAATCAATCATTAGCGAACTTTGTAGTTCGTTATTAATAACTAGAGGCCCAGTGCATGAATTCGTGCAGGGGTGGGGTCTGGCTGGCCTGCCCAGATGGGACCAGATTGGAGCTGGGCAGACCGGGAAGGGGGGGGCGATTGGGGGCGGGGCCAGCTGGGGGGAGGGGCCTTGGGAGGTTGTGGGGGCCAACTGGGGCCCCGATCAGGGATCAGGCTGGTTGGTTGCTGCAGTGTGTGTCATAGCCACCGGTCATTCAGTCATTCCTGCATTCTGGTCGCTTGGCTTAATATATATGGATTATGTATAACAGGATATTACAAAAATTAAGTAATGAAATTTTTATTAAAACGTTTCTTACGTACCGTTATATTGGCTGGGCCACAGAAATACTCGTTGTGGGCTGCATGTGGCCCGAGGGCTGTGAGTTTGACATGCTTGCTGATGAACATGCTGTTGAGAGCCTCCCCTGGGACCTCCCCTAAAATCCCCACCCTGCAAAGTCCGTAAGGAGGGAGGACCCAGCGGCTCCCCAGAGCACTCCCTGGTTTTCCCCTCCCCTCCCCCTCCACCCTCTCCTTCTTCCCCGCACATTCCCTTGCCCCTCTTTCTCCAAGCTCCAAGGGCCCCTCTTTTGCCTCTATAACTTGTTTCCTGAGCCCATTTCTTCTACCACTCACTTCCACCTCTGTGACTTTCTAAATAAACGTTCTCTTAGGGAATTCTCTGAATTCTTTCCTTGCCAGAACCCAAGTACGAGGTTGTTGAACCTGGTGCCCTTGTTACAGAAAAACCGGACCAGAACCAAACAGCGCTCTGAGAGTTTGGAGTTACACTTTATTCACCGCAGCGGGCGTAGGGAAATGAATCCAAATTCTAAGCAAAGCTACAAGCAGAACTTCCCTTTTTATAGAAGAGCCAGCCCTTTGTGTGCTTGCTGGCGGCGGCCTTGAAAACTACACAGTTCTATCAATTAAAAAATGCACCTGGCATGGCATTGGGTGTATCTAGTCTCTGGCCTACAAGGTCAGACAGCTAAGTTTATCTCCCCCATTATTCAAGCAGGCTAGAAAGCAAACTTATTTTTTTCAGAATAAGAGGCCGTCCAAAGAATAGCAGAGAATTCCCAACAGTAGTTTTACAGAATAGGGGTTTTCCTTCACACCCTCACCACCAGCATAACAGCTGAGCTACCAGCCAGGGCTATAATTCTTTTATTAAATAATATATAGAGACACTGATTTAAATGTCCTCGCCAATACGACCTTGTGGGGGTGTTCACTGAAATTCTCTACCCGGCCGTTTTAAAAGAGCTTAAAATCAGGATGAAAACCCCACCACACTGAAGATGTTCACTTTCAGAAGCCCCGGCACAGGGCACAGGGCACAGGGCACAGGGCACAGGCCACAGGCGGGGAGACCTTTCCTGCTCCTGCAGGCGCCTCCGGAGTGTGAAGGAGGGAGGGAGGGCTTTCAACTGACTTGTTTGGGGACACAAGTCTTGGAAATGCTGATAAACCTACTGTCTCCTCAACAAAGAAACACTTAAACTTTCCATTTGTGTGAGTGGACCCCTCAGGGCACGTGTGCAGGGGTTGCTTGGGGCCTGGGCCTGGCAGCACCACCTGTGGGAGCTGAGGGGCACCGGGCTGGGCAGGGGGCTGAGATGTGACATGGCTGCACCTGAGCCTCAGCCGCCCTGGGCTGCAGGTCGGGCTTCTGCACCCCACAGCGACGGGGTGGCTGGGAGCCAGGGGAGGCCGTGTCCCGCACCACCTGGGCCCTCGTGCCTCACCCAGTAAGTTCAGTTCCTCCGCGCACAGCACCTCAGGGCACTGGTCTCTTCCTGGGGACACTGAAAGGAGTGAATGGGCCACAGCAGCCTGGCCCCCCACAGTGTCTCAGGCTTCACTGCCTCCCCCCCCCACCTGTCCAGGTTGCCACACATCCGTTTACCTGGTGGTCACCCAGTCCCATATCCCTGGGGGGGTCTGAGCTCCTGCCAGTGTGGGTGGCTGTGCCGGTCCATCTGTAACCACATAGAAACTTCATTTATTTATTGTGATGTTTTCTCCTTCTTTTGGTTAACGTAAAAAAACCATTGAAACCTGTAAAGAATTGTTGTGAGTTCATTTGAGCCAAACTGTGGACATAGACCGGGAAGCAGAACCTCAAGGAATTGAGATAATGCTCCAGAGAATGGCGGGGTTACATCTGCATTTATACATTTGCAATCAAAGGAGGGACATAGGTGGGTTACATGAAATCCATTGGTGATAGATTAGAGGTGGGAGAAAGCAAAGCAGGGAAACCCCTGGGATTGGATAAAAAGTAAAATGATGGACACATGCTTAGGTGGGTGCAGGCTCAATTAACATGATAATGAAGGAATTTGTGGTATCTGTCCTGGGGCCCAGCACATTTGGTTGTGCCCCAAGGGGTCCAGAAAAAGGGAAGTTACAAGTTACCCAGTCATTTCAAGGGTATGTTATCATAGATGCAAAAAGATGCAAAAAGGTTCAGTTAAAGTAAAGGTTGACCTTGTCAGTGAAGATACCAGCCTAGGATGTAACTGCCACCATAACTGCTTTTAGTTAAAGTTTAATTTCAGACCATCCTTTGTGGTTACTTTAGGTCTCTGAGTTTGCAAGAATGCCATTCAGGCCTCCCCTGAGCTTGTCAGGTCAGCATGTGGCCCCTTTCGTCCACATTTCCTTTTGATCCGAACTCCAGCACCTGGCTCACCTACCTCCTCCCCTGCACATCCACTCCCTTAATCATTTAAGCCCTCAGGACAACGAGGTTCTGATCAGCATTAAATAATCTTAGGAACAAAGCCTCTGGTCTGTGTGTGCCCGATGTTCAGGGTTCCCAAAAACCACCAGGGAACCAAGTCCGATGCAAGACGCAAAAGAGCCTTTATTCGAGCTAGCTCGAGCTCCCATCCACCACACTCACCGATGCAGTGGCAGGAGGCAGAGAAGAGAGCGAGCTCTGTGGGGAGAGGGGTTTTATAGGGGGGTTGGAGTAAGGGGAGGAGAGAGGACTGTGGCCAGGCGCAAGTCGGGGTCTTGTTACACAGGATGTGGTCGTATCTATGGCGCGCACTTCCCTTGATTATCATTGGTTAGTTTAAAGAAATCCTAGGTGTGGCTAGCAGAGGCTTGGACTTCCGGGAAGAAGCTCCTTGCTGAGCACATGGCTAATGGCTGCTGCCCCAAAATGGAGGATCCGGGGCAAGATGGAGGGCGTAGCCCTCGCCCTTTCAGTCTGTTGACCACAGAGACAGAGGTCAAACTAGAGATAACATCTAGGCCACAGTTGTGTGCCTCCCTCCAGCCCCAGAAAAGTGGTGACCCCAGATGAAGCAACGCCACGGCAGACACCAAGACCAAATACAATGGTCACCCCCTCAACCCCCACCCCCTAGTGCCAGCAAATCAGTAGAGACTGTGAGGCTTGATCCAGCAATTGGACACCCCCTCCCCCGGAACTGACTTCCAGACCATTTTTGCAATGAACATTCCTGATAGATCCCTCCCTTTCCCCCCAACTGGGTGGGCGGGAGTACGACGTAACCCTGCAGGCCCGGAAATACCTGAGTGACTAACCCATGTACCTTATATGGACTATACATTGGACCCACCAATCCACACCTGCCAAATACCTTAAGCCCTTGGTCTATATCAGTGATGGTGAACCTCTGACACGCGAACTCATTTTTTTGGATGATTTTTCTTTGTAAATGGCATTTAAATATATAAAATAAATATCAAAAAATATAAGTCTTTGTTTTACTATGGCTGCAAATATCAAAAAGTTTCTATATGTGACACAGCACCAGAGTTAAGTTAGGGTTTTTCAAAATGCTGACACGCCGAGCTCAGAAGGTCCGCCATCACTGGTCTATATGGACAATGCAGTGAGCCACCATCAGTGTGCGCCAAGTTCACTAAGCCCCCACCCCTTCCCAGTCCGCCCCTCAAAAGGTGTGCCCACCCCTGCACGTGCTGCTGTCCTCCCCCTTGGAGACAGCCCGTCAGGGCCCTTCTCCTCTAACTAAAGCCTTGTAGTCCTGGGTCTTGATTTTTCAATTCCCTTTCGCTGAGGACCACATTCCACTTGCTTAAGACAATTTATCTCCTCCCCTTCCCGACCTGCACAGAGAATTCTCCGCCCAGAAAGCCCGCCAAAGTCCTTCCAAACCCGCTGACTCCCGTCACTGGGGGCTGGCGCCATCTGGGGCTCAGCCACCTGGTGTGTGGATGATCCAATAAATTCTTAATCCCTCACCATTCTGGCCTCTCGTGTTCCTCCTTTGGTGACCCCAACAGAGACCCTGACCCTAACCCCCGTAGTCACCATGATTAATGCTTTGTCCCTGTGTAACCCATCCCCTGGAAGCCATTGGGCAACCAGGGCGTTGAGCGTTAGCTCGCCTGTCTGTCCTGGGCCACTTCCTAAAATTAACCCTTATTTTCTTGGCTACAAACCGGTTCCGGGCTCATTGGGTTCTGATGTGCTCAGGCAAGCAGACCCCTCCGGTCCGTAACCCATTCACCTCCAAGATTGTACCAAGGGGCACCCAGGGGATCTGCTGGGTGTCGGCTACATTCTCCCTCCTCCCCTGATGGGCAGGCCAACCCCTCCTGCCAGGACAGTGGCTCCTTTCTCTGCTCTCTGGGCGTTAGGAGCTTTGGGACCAGGTGGCAGCTGCTGCTTAGAGGCTCAGGGGCTCCTATTGTGTCTCCTGGAGGATGTGTTCTTCCTTGGGAGCCGGATCCCAGGACCCACAGAGCCGGAAGCTGCAGGATGGGAAGCACAGCGCCCCAGTGGGTCTGGAGAGATGACAAGTGTTAGGTTAGGTGGCTCAGGAGGCGGCGTAGGAAATAAAGAGAGTCCAGCTAATCAGAAAAGAAAGAAAGGAAAGGCTTTATTCTGTGTCCCCAGGCGGCCCACGGGCCCCAAAGACAGGGCACGTGGATCCGCACCAACAGGGAGGGGGGCGCTTTTTTTTATACAGCTGTTCAGTGAGGGTGGGGGAGCATGAGCTGTGGGAGTTCCCACCGCGGGGGTCGTCACGGTTTCCAGGTGTCGTCATCTGCCTGGTAGCTGACCTGTTAGGAATTCCAGGGCGGGACCGGTATCTGCGTCACCATCTACCTGGTGCACTGGCCTGTTACGGATTCTAGGAAGGGCCCAGTATCTACGTCACCATCTGCCTGGCAGAGGCATGCACCAGCTCCTGGACCCCCTTTCGACCTAACAACAAGCAAGTGAAACAGGAATTTTAGGGGTAAAATAGGAGGTTTAGGAAATTTTAGAAATTAAGGGGACCATGGAAGAAGCACAGGGCTGCAGAGCAGCAGAAGGTATATGTCCATAGACTAGGGAAGCTGAAAAGCTGCAACGGGTACATTTCCATAGAATGAGGGAGCGGGGAACAGCAAAAGGCCTATATTTACAACATAAAGAGAAGGAAGCCCTTCATCCAGAAGGAGAGGAAGAAAGCCCAAAGGGAATAGAAAAACAATAAGGAGGGAGGGGGGGTGGGGGAGAACCTCACATGTCCCATGTGAGGTCCGACCTTTGAGCTCAGGAGTTACTATAGCAACCAGTCTAAGGGGATAGTGACCATCAGAGGGGATATCAAGGCACCAGGATCTGCAGCCTTTACTAGTGTAAGCTGTAGGGAAAAGGAAGTCAGCGGTACCCTTTCCCCCCTCCTATGAGGGAGTCCGTTCTGTGGGACTCTTCCCCCTCCCCACGTGGGAGTCTGTACTTGTTCTTCAATAAATCTCCACCTTTGCTACACCACCTTCTGTCAGTGGATTCATTCCTCGACTCCGGCGGACAATGAATCCGGGTTCCAGTCCAAAAATTTCGTTTCACAGGGGTGTTTCCCACCCTGTCTCTATTGGAGACACGGCCCCAAGCCTCAGGCTGGATCTGGGATGTATACCTTTCCTGGAGGACAGCATCCTGTGCTCGTAAGGTCTCATCACCAATTTCCATCGCTCTCCAGGTTGGAGCTCCTGGAGGTGGGAGTGCGGCAGCACAGGGGGTCCTGCTGCCTGACCCTGCAGCGTCGTCATGGAGAGGGCTCTGGGGCAGGCAGCCTGGAGCCCCAGGAAAGGAGTTATCAGACAGTCTCTGAGTCAGAAGAGAGGGCTGGCCCCAGATCAGTTCTTAGTGTGGACAAAAGGGGCCACATGCTAACCTCACGAGCTCAGGGACAGCCTGTGTGGCGGCCTTGCAAACTCAGAGACCTAAAGTAACCACAAAGGATGGTCTGAAATGAAAACTTAAAAAAAAAAATCTTTATGCCCAGTCGGTTTGGCTCAGTGGATACAGTGTCGGCCTGCAGACTGAAAGGTCCCAGGTTTGATTCTGGGCAAGGGCACATGCCCGGGTTGTGGGCTTGATCCCCAGTAGGGGGCTGCACAGGAGGCAGCCAATCAGTGATTCTCTCTCATCATTGATGTTTCTATCTCTCTCTCCCTCTCCCTTCCTCTCTGAAATCAATAAAAATATATTTTTTTAAAAATCTTTGAGAGTATTACAGATGTCCCTCTTTTTTCCCCCATTGCCTCCTTCACCAGTTCCCACCCCACCCCAGGCCTTCACCCTATTGTCTGTGTCCATAGGTAATGCATATCCTATAAAATAAAACCCTAATATGCAAATAGACCGAATATTTTGCGGAACGACCAGTCGCTATGACAAGCACTGACCACCAGGAGGCAGACACTCAACGCAGGAGCTGCCTCCTGGTGGCCAGTGTACTCCCCCTGTGGGAGCACCGCTCAGTCAGAAGCCGGGCTCTCTGCTCCTCAGAGGCGGGAGAGGCTTCCGGTGCCTCTGCTGTGCTTGCCAGCCATGAGCCCAGCTTCTGAGCACAGTGGCGGTGGTGGGAGCCTCTCCCGCCTCCACTGCAGGCGGGCAGTAAGGAGCGAGGGGTCCCGGACTGCGAGAGCTCCAGACTACGGACATCCCCCGAGGGGTCCCGGACTGCGAGAGGGTACAGGCCGGGCTGAGGGACGCCCCCCCCCCCAGTGCATGAATTTTGTGCACCGGGCCTCTAGTATGCATATAAAATCTTTGTTTAATCTCTTCCCGCCCTCCCCTTCCCCTCTTCCTTCTGATATTCATTAGTCTGTTCCATGTTTCCATGCCTCTGATTCTATTTTATTCACCAGTTTATTTTGTTCATTAGATTTCTTCTGTATTTATTTTTAGATTCAATTGTTGATAGATACATATTTCTTGCCATTTTATTGTTCATACTTTTTATCTTTTTCTTCTTCTTCCTCTTCCTAAAGAATACCCTTCAACGGTTCATATAATACTGGTTTGGTGGTGATGAAATCCTTTAGCTTTTTCTTGTCTGTGAAGCCCTTTATCTGATCTTCAATTCTAAATGATAGCTTTGCTGAGTAGAGTAGTCTTGGTTGTAGGTTCTTGCTATTCATCACCTTGAATATTTCTTGCCACTCCCTTTTGGCCTGCAAAGTTTCTGTTGAGAAATCAGCTGACAGTCATATGGGTGCTCCCTTGTAGGTAACTAACTGCTTTTCTCTTGCTGTTTTTAAGATTCTCTCTTTGTCTTTAACCCTTGGCATTTTAATTACCATATGTCTTGGTGTGGGCCTCTTTGGGTTCCTCTTGGTTGGGACTCTCTGCACTTCCTGGACTTGTAAGTCGATGTCTTTCACCAGGTAGGGGTATTTCTTCAAATAGTTTTCAATATCTTGCTCTCTCTTCTCCTTCTGGCACCTCCATAAGTTTTCTTGCTTCCATTTCTTTAATTTGTAACACAGTACGAGTCCCATTAAGCTCTAAGCAGCTTCTTTAATTTGTCTCCTCATTTTGGCTGTTTCCCTGTGTTTGTTTCTATGTATTGCATAGAGCTACTATGTCTCCTTGAGTTGGTAGAGTGGCCTTCTATAGTAGGTGTCCAGTAGGACCCAGTGGCTTAGCTTCCCCAGTCACCTGAGCTGGGCACTCTAGGTGCACTCCTGTGTGGGCTGTGTGCACAATCTTGTTGTTGATCCTTGATTGCTGTTGGTGTCACTAGGAGGAATTGACCTCCGAGCCAATTGGCTGTGAAGACCAGCTGTGTCTATAATGGAAGAGATAATGTGCAGGAGACACCCCTATAGAGCAGGACTTGCTTCAGTGGGGCTTTGGTGCTCAGTGAGTCTGCCCCTTGAGTGTGTTGCTTATGGATGTGAAGAATTATAATCTGCTATGGTCTGACACTGATCACTGGGTACACTGGCTCTTGGGTCACCAGGGAGGTGCAAAGTCAGCCACTGTCTGGGGCCACCTATCAGGAGCTACAGAGAGATCTGCAGATGGCTGCTACTTGTATTGGGCTAGGAAGTGCCCAGGTGAGGCCCAGCTGTGAAGCAAGGCAGGGTGGTTCTAGTGCTGGCTCTGGGCTTTTTATTGATAGGTTTGAGGCACGCTGACTCCAGCTGCTGCTTGTTAAGAGATTTTAGAAAAGTCTGAAGCCTGAGCCAGGACAGGCCATTCATATGGAGAAGCAACTGCAAACAGCTTGGGTGGGGCTGAAAATTGGATGGGGTGAGGTTCTCAGGGAATCACCTGGGTGGAATGAACAGTGTGGGCTATGCTCATGGAAACTCAGATATGGTTGCCAGTCATCCCTGCGACAGGGGAGGTCTCAGCACAGGAACAATGACCCGTGTGAGCATCCCTGTTTGGGAGAAAGCTGCCCCTGAGTTCCTGCCCCAATGCCAGACAGTCCAGTTTCTCCTCATATGTCTCTGGATTCCCCCAAAGCCACCACCCTGGTGTTAGAGCTCAGAGGAAGTTTGGCCATTAAAGTTTGTGCTCATGCCTTTTAAGAGGAACACCTGGGACTCCAGCAGCCTCTGTGTCACTCAGCCACAATCCCCACTGGTTTTTATAGCCTGAAGTTACGGAGACTTCTCTTCCTTGCTCTGGAACCCTAGGTCTGGTGTGGGGCTGGGACCCCCTATCTCATGGAGGCCTCAGAGATATCTGTCCTGATTTAAAAAATAGTACACATGGGTGTCTGACCAGTCCATTCCTCATCTCTGCCCCTCCTACTAGTCTCAATGTGCTGAAAGTAAAACTTTTTATTTATTTATTATTATTATTTAAATATGTTCTTATTGATTTTTTAGAGAGAGGGAGGGAGAGGGATATCAAGCCTGTAACTGAGGTATGTGCCCTTGACCGGAGTTGAACCTGGGACCCTTCAGTCCACAGGCCAACACTCTATCCACTGAGCCAAACCTGCTAGGGCTGAAATTAAAACTTTTTAATTAAAAGCAGTTTATGGCAGGTTGTCATGTCATGGCCTAAGACCTTCCCTGACAAAATCAATCTTTCCCTTAATTAAGCTTGTTTATTGACTTTTGCATCTACAATAACATTCCTTTGGAATGTCAGGTAACTCCCCTTTCTCCAGACCACTCAGGATTGGGTGGAGACCATAAATCATGTTAATCATTAACTGTTAACTGTCATTTTACTCTTCATCCAATCCCAGAGGTTTCCCTGGTTTGCTTTCTCCCACCTCCCTAATCTATCACAAATGGATTTCATATAACTCAATTAAGTCTTCTCTTAATTATAATCCTATCTAACAATAGACAAACATGGTAATTGACCGTACCTTTGCTACGCCTCCCATCGGCTAATCAGCATGATATGCAAATTAACCGCCAACAAAGATGGCAGCTAATTTGCATATACCCACTGGGAGCGAAGACTGAAGACACTATAGAAGGAAGCCAAGCAACGGAGCCGAGGTAGCGGAGACGGGCTGGAGATAAGTGGCAGAGACGGTCGGGGTAGGAGCCGCAGAGACGGGAGCGAAGCCCTATTCTTGCAGGAATCCTCCTGCAACGGGCCTTTAGTATACAAAATAAGATACAAAATGGCCATTTTCTGGAACATTATCTCCATCTGTTGAGATTTTGCTTCCCAATAATTGTACACAGTTTGGCTCAAATAAACTCACAAAAATTCTCTATAGGTTTGAATATTTCTTACAGTTGACATCAGTTTTGTAGGAATGAATTCAAACGAATGACCCTGACTGCACTGTGATAAAGACAATTTATGAAAGCAATTGAAACAAGCAAATGTATTAAAGAAGCAAGGGAAGCAAATCTACCATCCAGCATGACACGCATAAATGGGCTCTCAGCTGATCTGAGAGAGTTGGGTGGGGGGTGTCTGCCTTATATACTTTTCTGTGTATA